CTTAGCAAAGGGCCCCGGACCCTGTACTCCCGGAGCACCCCCCACAGGGGGACACGGTTGAATGCCTTCTCCAGATCCACGAAACACATGTGGACTGGTTGGGCAAACTCCCATGAACCCTCCGCCACCCTGAAGAGGGTATAGAGCTGGTCCAGTGTTCCACAGCCAGGACAAAAACCACATTCCAACAGCTTGTATTTGTCCCTTTCCTGCTTCAACGTGACAATGTTGCTATGTAGACGAATCCTGATATTGTCAGTGCTCACCCACTCCAAAAAAGAGAGGGCAGGTAAAAATGGCAAGAGAAGGGCCGGCACAGGGCACCAACATGGGCAGCATGCAGGCCCTGAACACCAGCTCCTCTGTTAACGGTGCCACCACCTGATTCCTCAGCCAGCGCATGTCACTAAAACACAACGTCCAGAACCACGGGTCTGCAGGAAGACAGAGACAGAGGAGGTTATTTCTTCAGTTGTAGCAAAAGCGCTTAATTATAGTTTACAGACCTGCTTTACACCAAAATACAGCCTCAGGGTTTAGAAATTAGCTTTTGAGTTGTGGTGGAAACTGCACAACAGAAAATATAAGAAACTCAAAGATAAAATGTGTCACAAGCAACAAGATTTAAAGGGGTTTGAAAAAGCTCTATGACTATGCAGTTGAGAAAAAGAGGGCAAAACCCAGCAGGGTGGCTGTCTCACCGAAGGCCACCCTGATCCCATCCATGAAGCTCCAGGGGCAGTCCATGGCCAGCTGCATGAGAGGGCCCAGAAACAGGACCTGCAGCACATGTAGACAGCAGCTCTGATTTCACCATTTAAAGCAGCCCAGTGATCGCTACATCTGATCATCTTTTGCTATAAAAGCAACATAAAATTTATCATTATGCCAAGCCCACTACACCCAATAATGATGAGGAACACAGCTGTGGGGATTCACTACATTGTAAAAACAGCGTTATTCATTTTACCATACCACACACAGCAACAGTATATGGCAGACATATTTGAAAAGTTACATTTCTGACCAATTCCAAACTCTCCATTTACTTTTCCATTATTCATCTGAGCTTTATGTTGAAAAATTAAGGTTGATACAAGTCATATCAAGGCATTTCGTAAACTGACCAGCACCAACTATATAGCACCTGATGGATTTCTAACTCAGATTGAGCTAGCTCAGAGCTGTGAGGAAAAAACACTGCATGAGGCAAAAGGACAGGTACGTGGTGGTGATCTTAAAAAACAGGACATTAGTTATTTTATTTAAGACTGGCTGCTGATTTGGTCCACAACATGGTCACCAGTCAGAAAGGTGGCAGTGGGGATGGTGACACAATTTGTCCTCTGTGAATCATAACGCAGGGATTCCTAATCAGACTGGTAAAGCCACAAACAATACTCGTTTTTTACCAACACGTAAACATTTTTGTTCACATATTTCTTTGCATACTTTGGGTAAATCCCAGTTCCCTTAATTGCATGCATGTTTCCCTCACTTGTATCCTTTCCTTGTGTCTTAGTCTCACCCACGTAAGATTTGAGGAGAAGATGCAAGGAGAGGTGTTGAGGAAATGTCTTCAGACAGACATGAGACATTCTTTGCTCCAATCCTTCATCTGAAGCATGCAGTCACCAACTGATTTCTGATAAAGGGGCATGTTGGTCCATAAAAGACTTCTGCAAAAGAGGACCTCGTGTATCCTGGCTCAGGGCTCCACGCTCCTCAAAGCAGAAATAAGAGCTTTTGGGCATCCTTCAAGATGGCAGACTGGAACAAGTTCCGGGTCAAGCAAGGAACAATTAATGAAGGGAGGAGGAATTTACCCCTTGTATGTATTTAGAGTTTTAAGTATTTCCATTAGGAAGCAGATTCAGGCTTAATCATCCCTGACCAAAAATGCAACACCTTCCTAATGAACTTCCACTTTTCCCATAGCAACACTCCTGAGAGTTACAGTATTGCTGATGTAGAGATCCAGCAACCTGTCTCTTCCACCTCATACAGTATCATTGTCTCATGCCTCTTGCTTTGCACCCCAATACCCCTGAACCCCACCCCCCCACCCAAACTCTCCATCAAGTGGTGCCTGAATCACCATCAGCAGCAGCAGCGGCACTGAGGAAGGTGTTTCTTACCATGGTGAGCAGAAGAGGAAGTATGATGGCAGGAATGAGGCCCTCAAACCGAATCCCCATGAGAGCCAGTAATGATGGGCCACCCTGACACAAAAACACACATGTGCAAAAACAAATAATACAACTGCTAATGTGTCAGACAACAAAATTAGACAATAGTAGATTAAGAAATTTAATCCTCTGGTATTACAGCTGAATGTAAAGACAAAGTAGTCAGTGGTTTCTGAGATATGGACTCACCCTGGCACCTGTGAATTCTCTCCATGCCCACACAAAGAGAGGGGACAGACCTGACACGATCAGGACACTTGTGAAACGTCTCTTTATCACAGTGGGGTGATCCCTGAGAATGGACCAACAGTAATCACACATTGCACATATGCATGTCACTACACCAAACCTTTCCAAAATGTTATCATTTTAATGCTCTTTTGCTTCTCACTTAGTCTGTGGAGTATTAGCAGTCACCACTTCCTTCAAGTATACGACAGCTGCCATCTTGGCATCTAGCAACCAGCTCAGTAGCTACTGAGTAACTGAGTGACATATCAAACCACCAATCAAAGCTGTCAAATCAAACACACCCCTTTTTATTTCATCAAATACCTAAATAATGACCACTTGTACACACAACAGCATGATAATATCTACCAAAAAGCAGCAGAAATCACCTCTGGAAACATTTTTTTGATTTGTACTTAAAATGTTTTATTTTGGCTCATGTCCCATCCGCTAACATGGAGGCGGTGGGTTTTAATGACCTATGCTGTAACCAGCCACCAGGGGGCGATCAGCTCACAGTAGCCCATTGGTATTGTTTCGGGAGAGGTGTTTCATGATGTAAAGATGGAAATGGAGCCAGGATATAAAATTCCAAGTCACACCACAATCTCAAGATACACAGTACAGCTGCATGACAACACAAGAAAATATAAAGACCATACTAAAGAATAAGACACTGTCTGTGTCACCTACCTATGACATGATATGTTGTGCATCTGAGCAATAAGCAGCAGCGGCAGCATCATTTTTGAAAAGATGTCCCATTTGGAACTAGAGCTGGATTAGAATATTCGACTATCTGGATGTTCGTCCATTGGGTAAGTTAAGTTTTCAATTTGGAAAAGTTATTATTATGTACTAATGATTAAACATGTTCTCTGTAAAGCATTCTTGTCCAGTACAAAGTGTGCAGCTGCACTCATGAGGAAATGTGGAAAGGTGTTGAATCTTATCAAAACTTGCTAAAGGCTGAAGTTCTGTGGGGATGTATCTAGAGATAGGGAGGGGAACTCAAACTCTGTTACAAGAGTGTGCTTTGCTGATACTGGAAACTGGATGATAAAGATCATATAAAAGAGAAAGCACTGTACTTAGTGTTTTAGTGCATTCAGAAACAAACTTGATCTGTGTTTGACTATATTCTCTTGGGCAAGAATAAATACTTCACACTTGCAACTGAACACTTTTTTCATGTCTCATCATAAGAGACATGACAATTTACTTTACATTAATGGTGCCATCTTCGAGCTGATGTTCTACCATGTAACCAGCGTGAACCCGGAAGAAAACAAAAATCTGATGGCGAAGAAAAATGATCGTTCACAATGAAGACACTACAAGGACATCTAACTGGAGACATGACAAGATTCGTTGAACTTCTGTTGTTAACAGCTGGTGTCAGAATCATCAGACAAATTTAAGGTATTGCAAGACACTTGGACATTTATGACCAAACTACAAAGAAAACAGTGGCAGCACAGAAACCAAATATTATTAGTGAGCTGAAAGTTTTTGCACACAAGGAATGGGTTAAAATTCTAAATGAAAGGCGTCAGAAACTTGAGATATGACCTGAGTTGATTATGTTTTTAGTTAAATGTTATGCACATCACCACAATGTCTTGCAGGGTAAGGGGCTGAATAATCTGCATTGCAACTGTGGGAGTACAAATAGGAAAAAAATATATGTTTAGACAGAGGCCTTGGAAATATTATTACCTTGTGCACAGCTTCCACTGCAGCAGTGGCCTATGGGAAGTGGACTCAGGAGAAACTGTCTACATAAAAGCTGTTTTGCCGTTTAATCATAAAACACCTCTGCACCACGTTGTTGACTCACAATAAACAATAAAGCTGAAACTCAGTGCACCACCGAAGTTACATAAACAAAGTGTGCGGGTGGCGGAAGAAGTTGGGGGACTTCAGAATGACAGGTCCGTCCATCAATGGCTGCAGCCGCAAATCCAAATATAGCGCCTCATCACTGGCCACACGGAGGCGCTATTGGGGTCACTATCATACAGTATGATCAGAAGGAAGGTGTGTGATCTTTATGACTTACATGACAGGTACATTTGTTACTTAACGTAAAGGTTCATTGAGTGTCTACCCAGAAACTTAAAGATAAAACTAAACAGTGTCAGGATGAACAAATTATAATTAAATGATGTGTGGTAGTGTAATAAAATCATGTGGTACTTACACAGCGTTATCTATCACACGTTTAGCCAAAGCTCACCTTGGTAGGTCACTCCTCCACACGTACAAACTTCCAACATAAGAACAAGCTAGCAGCAGGCAGGACAGCACTGACACCCAGCATAAACCTTCTGGAGGTACAAAGTCGCCATTGACAGGTTCCATCTCCTCTGCCAGAAGGTTTGATGATAAACCCGTTTCCTCTGCCATGACGACGGCCTGCTGAGACTAAACCAGACAACTACTGTGCACCGGGACGGCTGCTGGACCATCTAACAGGATGAAACATCATTAACACGAGCTGTACAGTTGTCTAAATTCTTCTTTCCAAACGTGAGCTAACGTACCTAGCTACAATGCTAACTGCTCCGGCGCTGTATATTTACATCACTACATGTTTCTTTTTCTCTTCTTCTTCGTTTTTGTCTGACATCTTTAATAGTGCACCACTGCCACCTTGTGGGCTTACTCGGTCATTCATTGTTCATGTCTCTTAGATTCGCGCTATTAGTTTTGATCTACTCCAAAAACAACTATTGATGGGTTTAAACCATTACCTCCAGTTCTTTTTCATAAACGCCAGAATTAAATCAGTTTTACACTCCTGACTCATTTCAAGGCAGAGTTCTTTCTAAAGCTGAAAGTTTCTCTGCCTACTTCAGTTAAATTGATTCACTTTTATTTACATTTAGAATTTAAAAGTGCAAGCTATCTCTAACCATATACAAGATATATTTCAGTTGTCATTATAGAGTTTCAGATGATTGATTATATTTTCTAGATAACCTGGTTAAGAAATTTTATCTCTAAGCATTAATTCCCTGACACAATATCAGTGTGACAATGTGATTTTTAGATATAAAAATGGGGGGAGAGAGATTTGGAGATTTTGCTTCAGAAAAGAGAAGAGTTTTGGATTGTTAAACTGGACACATTAAGCCAAAGAGGATTAAAGGAGGATTTGGATTTGAAGCCAATTCTCTCTATTGAGTGTACTGGAAAATATTTATTCTTCACTAGTGCGATATATTATATCCAAATGTAGTTAGGCCTGCTTAGCTTGCTAAAATGGGTTATTCATAAAATTAAATGATTTAAAATCAGCTGGATATTGAAGGATATACAACTCATTTTCACACTATTGAGTTACTGAGATAATAAATACATTTAAATATGTATTTATTGGAGACTGTGATTAAATGAAAATTGTGATGTCAGATTTTTTTTTCTTGTGATTTTTCTCTTTGTAACTTCTATACTATTGATCTTTTATTTAAAAAAAACCGAAAAGGCTTGTTTGGTAGATGGATCTATGTAGGCTATTGTACATTTATGTTATTGAATATTTTTCTGTATTTTTTGTAATGACTGGAACCAAGGGGAGTAACAGTGTTATTGAAGGGTATGTTGTTCATATGACTGTATATAAGGAAATCAGAAACAACCTTAAGACATCACCTTACTAAAGACACCATAGGTGAAAACCTATGCAAAAGTGAAGCCAAAATATCATGAATACATTGGCTGCCATCATGGCATTCTGCAACCAGATTCACCACAGTAGCCTTCAATAGTTGAGTAACGTATCAGACCACCAATCAAAGCTGTCAAATTATCTGAAATATATACCCCCTTTTATACCATTAAATTACTTTTTTAAAACAACCTTACCAAAACAGTGACCACTTGTACACACATTAGTGTGATAATATCTGCCAAAAACGACAGAAATCACCTCTGAAAAAAACACTTATTTGATTTGTACTTTGAGTTTTTAGTTTGGCTCATGTCCCATCCTCTAACATGAAGGGAATAGGATTTATGACCTATACTGCAACTAAGCCACTAGGGGGAGATCAAGTTACGTTGGCTTCACTTCTGGGAGCTGTCAGGCTGCTCATCTTTTTATATAGTCAGTGGTGAAAGGTTTGGAGCACAGGGCAGGAGTCGTGGGATGTGTTTTTATCTTGATGGATATACTTTGAGACACACTGGTCTTCATCTTGCTCTGTGTGTTCTCAAGAATGAAATAACCACAAAACGTGTGCACAGCTTTTATTCATGAAACTATTTTTGAACAAATAACAAATTTACAGCTAAATCTAAACATATTTGTCCTGTATGCTCATCTTGTCAGCCTGAAATCTAATCAACAGTTCAATTGTTTACAAAACTATTTCAACACAAAGTCCATTTACAGTAGTCGCTCTTCTGGAGCTTTTGACCCTACCACACAATCTTCATCAGCACTTCAAATTTACCTATTGTCATGGGCTAATTTTAAAAAATTTCAGGACATTTTTAGGATTTTCCACCCATGTTTTGGCTTAAGGGTTGAGTCTGAAATTTTATTCCTGCAATGAAAATATTTTGAATTTTAAAGTTCCATGAAAAGAATTCCCTTTTCACCTCAAATTCACACATTTTGTTGGACAAATGCTGCTTGTTGCTTTATACTAACAACAGAGACACTGAAGACTGCCTAAAACACATTTGTCTATTGCTGAAATATATTCATAAATCAAGAACAGCTAACAGTCAGGGTCAAAGGTCAAGGTCAAAGTGTTTATTTCTCATATGCACAGTTAGGAAATTGAAAATTGAAATTCTTACTTTGCCGTCCACATGAGTGCCACAAAATACAAGTGAAATATAAAGTAGATGAGCAATAACACATCTAAATAGGCAGTAAAATCACAAATCGAATGCACTTTAAAGCAGCAAGTGAAGGGAGCAAATAAAAATACAACAAGAACACAATATAATGTAGAGAGAATATATGCTACATGGGAGCTGTGGAGTGTAAACACTCAGCAATGATTGTGCTCCCGGTTCTACTTTTATCAGCTGATGTGAACAGTTTTATACATCCCTAAACTGAAACTAAAAATCTGTAACAGGAACGCATGAAAACTGCCACTCTTCAGGATGTTTTTGCTTGTAAAAACTGAAGTTACTGCCACCAGAGGGCACCACAATACAGCTATTGGTAACTTCTGTACAGAGGCAGTGGCTTATGACTCTGGTACAAAAGATGAGCCTATTAAAATGTATTTGAATTTTCCATTGTATTGTAGCCTATGTTCACAATCAGCTAGTAAATGCTGTAAATGGGAGTCGGCCATGAGGTCCAAATCTGGAACTTTCTTGCTGTGAGACAATAGTGCCATAAACATGAACAAGAATATAAGATTAACCAGGTGATTTTTGTTCACAACCTCCTCTGCTGCATGAAAATATCCATCACTGTGGCTGTGGTTCAGTAGGTAGCGTAGAGCAGATGTGGACAGTTGGGCGGTCAGTCCCAGACTCTGTCTTCCTGCATGCCAAGTGTTTTTCAGCAGGGCACTGTAACCCCCAAATTGCTCCCAGTGGTATGCTGCTTTATGTGTGCTGAATGACTGAGAGGCAAATTGTTAGGAGCTTTGGAGCTGTTTACTTTAGGCTGATACATTTTTGCATTTGGAAATTTCTTTATAATCATGACTCTCATGCAATTGTTTAACAAACTGTAAAACAAATTAACTTGAACATGACAAGGTGTTCCCTAGTCTTTATTTGCCACTTTCTAATAAATAGGCTAGACCTGCGTCACAAAGGGAGTTCATCTAATTTCGGCTAACTCAGAGTTATCTGAATCCACTGGGCCAGACACTGGCCTTCTCATGTAACTGCTTTAAAGACACTCAACATACATATATACAGTAGACCTGACATGGAAAACTCCAATTTACGAGGATCACCTGAAGGCAACAGAACATTCTTGTGACTTTTTTTTCTTGAGAGAGAGAGAGAGAGAGAGAGAGAGAGAGAGAGGCGTGACATCAGACTGTCTGCTGTTATAGTCGAGAGGAAGGAACATGAATCAGTCTCCTGTGTAACGTGAACGGAGGAGAGGCGATGCTACGGCTCCAGATGCTCTGCGCCTCATCCTCATCATCATCATCTTCTTCTTCTAGTCTCCTACTCTCCGTCTTTATGCTTCAAAGGCCTTACGGGGACTGACACAACCCGCACACACGTACTCACATCCAAAGGGAGGAATTACACGCCGATCCGAGCCGGTACCGGATCTCCATTGGCAAACATCAACGGGTACGGGCCTGTTTATCTGATTTGCCCCACCACCTGTCTTAATAGAACAGATCCATCCACAAAAGAGCAGATGGCAGGAGACGCCAGCTGGCCTGTTGTCTGCTTTAATGCTCTTGTAGTGCGGTGAACGACGTCGTGGTTATTAGTGGATGCTGACTTTATAACCTTTATTTACGTCTTTATGAGGTAAATAGATTTGGTAAGTCATGTCCAACTAATGGAAGTGCTGCAAAATAGAGCTTTTTAAACGAATTTTGCTCTTATTCATGCTCATAAACCTTCTATTATTTACCTCTAGATAACTGCTGCTGCTGTGTGTGTGACAGGGAAATGTGTGTTTGTGCGTAAGGCGGGTGTGTGTGGTGATGTCTTCCCTATATGCGTGTTGCTGTGCGGTGGAATCCCCTGTGTAGCCTACACACGCAGCCTGCATGCGCTTTACAATGGCACAATAAGCTGTTTAACCCAGATGTTTATTTGTCAAAAGAGGAAGAAACTATAGGTTGTGTGTACTAATTTCTCGTTTTCCCTCATTTTCTTCGATATGGCCAAATCCGATCAGGTTACTACATCATCATATTCTTAAAAGAGAGAAATATGCGTCGATCCACTTCACATCCTTTGGAAAACGTAATGCGCTGCAATCCGCACAGACAGAGCAGAAATAACAGATAGAGGCCATGTTTGAATCACCCTGGACCAGACATAAAGCATTTCTGGCGCATTAACATTTTCTTGTAACATTTCCCAGCTTCTAGATGGTTCCAGACTTGCTTGAGTAAAATGAGCTCAAAATGGCTCACAGTACAGTGTTATTCATGAACCAAAATATTGTAGTTTGCTGAGAGTCATAGTTGTTTCTTGATGGAAAAATGATACTTTACTGGCATGACAGTAACCCCAACCCTAAAACATAGCACCTTGGTGGGGATACTACCTGTAATAGGATCAGGATGGTGAAGTCAGAATATGTAAAAGCAAATGGAACAGTCACTGTTGTCTACAAATCTGCTGATGTCTCTAAAAACCTGTTAACCTGAAGTAATTTATTCTGATAAGTCTGGGGAACATTACAGTCATTTAGAATTTTATTCAGAAACATAGCATTACACATTTTAAGGGTACCCAGGCTAACTTTAAAGGTGGATTACGTAAGATTTTACAAATTGTCTGATGAATACAGTAAAAATTGGGACAAGATATGGTGTGGTGTCTCTCAGCTATACTACCCTCCTCCATGACACTTGGCTGCATACAGCCCTTCTATTGTTATTCCTGCTACTCCACCCTCTGTTTTCATTATCAGTCTGGACATTAGTCCCGCCTGCCACCTAATGAAGGTTATAGGAAGCATTTTTCGAACCACAAGTAGCCAATTCAAACAGGAAGAGCTCTTGGCAGCTAAAAGTCCAAAACAGTGGCTGCCAGACAAAAGATATCAAGTTCTTTTACACAGTGGGACAAAGAAAGATCAAAAATGAAGGTTAATATTGATTTGGCTTGTTGAGATGGAGACGGTTAAAAGCAGCCAAAGGAGTCAGATTTGATTCGCGTGACGTTCTTCCTTCTGGGTGCATTAGCATCTAAAGCTAATGTGTTGTTATGGTAATAATGGCAACCTAGCATGGTCAGGATATTACCTTTAGAGTAATTTGAGAGAAATGAAAGCTTTGTATTGTTATTGTTTTGTGCCTCCTCACTGTCAACCTTGTCACTTGATGTGCTGCTGCAATGCTGCCATAGAGCCAGGACTCCTTAGTCAGCTAATGGTAGCTTCGAACTGATGGCTGCATTTTCTACAGTTTGTCCCAACCAGGCATCCATAATTTACGTTGTTGCTGGGCACCAAAATGTCAGTTTGTTTTGAGTTTCATTAGACTCTCTAGCAGCTGAAAAGAAATTAGTTAAGGCACCTTTAAAGGCACCCCAATAAGTTTTACTGTATTTACAGTGCAGGGTTTTTTTCTACCAAAGCATAATGTGTATATCCTAGAAAGGTAGAGAACACTCAGGGCCTCTTTCATGTTTGTACTGGGTGGAATGGCAATGATGATGACAGTAGTAAACTCCCTAGGCAGATAAAAAGGTCTACATTTAACAGTCAGGAGCTCTATGTCAGAAGAGCACAGACTTGAGACCATTTTGGTATTATTGCACCATCTATTAGTATAGATGTAAACATTACCACCCCAGGATTTACCAGTGAGAGCACAACTCCTGTCCAACCGAAATACTGTTAGCCCATCCATGTTAACAGCATCATCAGGAACAGCTGGATTTAACCATGTCTCGGTTAGAATAATGTCTCAGCAGTCTCTCAGCTCCTGTTTAGTTGCTAAATCCAGCTTTAGGTAGTGCATTTTATTCTACACGAAGTAGACGTCAGCAAGCAGAACGGATGAAAGCTCCATTCTGCAGGACTTACCCTTTACATTGGCTGTTAGCCCTCCATGACTACCCTGTTTCTGCTTCCTATCACACCACCTCTGTCTCTTGCGGTAGCGGCCAGTGCTGGTATGAGGTTCCGCTGCTTCATGGGCTGCTGGAGCTTGCCTACCAATTCACTTTATCTTTCCTCACTCCACTTTCATCTAAGATGGTATCTTCCAGCTTCTGACTGACTGAACACACCTGAGCCAGGTAATCAGCAGATCAGGCAGGGATAGTTGGAAAACAAGCAGGACAGCGGCCCTCGAGGACTGGAATTGGCCTCCCCTGCATTAAAGCAACGATACACAACTTTTCATTTTGTCTCCCCCTACAGCTGCTGAGTGGGAGTTGTACCCAACTGTTGTAAATTCTAGTTGTGCTTCCCCCCCCCCCCCTTCCTCATGGACAGCGGTACATGTGCATTTGTTTACAAATTGAAGTTACTGAACCAAGGAAGAAAAAATCAGAAGCCAAAGAGTGGTAAAGTAATATTACAGTATTTTGTATAAATAAAATGACAGTTGCTGTTTTACTTATTGTGACACTGAAGTTTTTTTAGTTTTACTTAAATGCTGCTTGTACTTTTAGACAGTTTGCTAAGCGTTTGAATGTGCAACACAATATAGGCTCATACTGCACATAATATACACTGGGCAGTGTAATTTATTACAAGCTAGCTGAGATGGTTTTGTTAGACTGCTAATTGCATAGGTTTGTTTGGCTTGACAGTGACAAAGACTGGACAGACTTTCTTGTGTGAGATTAACTGATTTATTTTGGGGACTGAGGTAGATGAGTTTTTACATCCGGGAAAAACTACAAAACTACAGGGGATTACATCAACAGGGTTACAGCCTACATTGCAGTATTTCATAAATAACATCAGCAGGGACATACACTCTGCTGTAGGGGTTGTGTTGTTTTCGTGTTAGCAGATCTGTACAGCTAACATCAGGCCAGTAGCTATTAACAGTTAATCACCTGGACAAAGTTATTTTAGCTCTCGCCAGTGAGTAAAAGTCAGTCCAATATTTACTCCTGTCCGATGTCTTGCTCTGTCTTTTTCTCTTCTTCTTGACTGTCACTGGGCTCTGAACATGTTGTAGTTCTGGAGGTGTGTTGTGTTGTGCACGTTTTTTACATGCTTTGGCTGGACAGGTTATAGCCATATGTCCATGAGACAGATGTCTCCTGACTATATGCCATACTACGTACTGCTATGTGTGGGCTTTATTCCATGTCCTGTTGCACAGCTTATTCACAATCGCAGTATGTGACTGTAGTAGGATAGTAGGTCTGAACTTTAAGTCCAAACTCCTGGGGAGGACAGGAGCTTGGTCTACTAGCAGGTCCTCACAGCGCCAAAAACATCAGAGTAAATTTCCAAATTGGTCTTATTTGGATAGACTGACCACATATTCATAATCTAAAGGCTTACTTTCTCACATGAAAAAAAATCTGAACTCAAAAAATGCCCAAGGATTTGTCTTTGTATGTATGAACCCCATAAGAATACTGAGCTAGCGGAAGAGTCTGGTGCTGTAGAGCATTACGCAGTTCTCGAAAGAGGTCTGCGCGAAGGTGTTCCAAAGTTACATAGTGCAGTAACAGATGATCCAGACACACAGTGGCAATAGCAGAGATGCCATTCACCTTATTAGAAGTCAGTCTGCCATCAAAATGATTTTGAAGCTGTTATTTTAATATAGAAAAGGTACGTATTGTTGCTTTTTGTAACTGCCTTATATGGAAAGGAATATACACAATAGAATTAATGTTTGTGAGATAAATACAGGATGATTGTAATCTCCAAAATCACATCTTAAAATAAGATTTTCTGTGTGTGTGTGTGAGAGAGAGAGAGAGAGAAATTGTGCAGGACAGCAAGATTAGATAACACAGTATCAGCCCACCTGTCAAGCTCTTATAGAGCCTGGGGTCAAACTGAGAGGAGGTGAGCCTACAATAACAGAAAGGGGAGATTTAAAATAACACAATAGTTTAAACTGCTTGTAAAATGTGGTTATTTAAAGTCAGATTTAAATCTAGTTCAGTATGAAGCCAATTCTCTTTTAAGGTGGAAACATTTTATTGAGGGAATGGGAGGTCATTGAGGGTAAGAAGGGCTCATTAGGGGTTGTCTAAGTGCCAAGATTTTCAACACAGACTTTGGATTTCCATGTGATTGAGTATACCCTACTGGGCGGAATTATTACATACTGACCTTCTCCTATAACTGTTATTTGCATAAAGACATGAAAATTGCATTATGTTAATTTGCAATTTTCAATTTGAAAAGGATGAATTGTTCACCCATAGTTGTCAGTATGCAAATCACATAGCTGGCAAACGTCTCAAAAAACTAGGTGCATTTCAGGTGGGTGGCCTTCTGCCTCAACTGGTTGGAATGAGTGGATAGAGGAAAATATTAAGGAGAGGCAGATTTAGGTCACTTTTCAATTAATTTGGTGGACTTTCCTTAAAATGTTGAAGAATTTTATAATATATTTTGTTAATAAAAACAAAAGCTTATCTTAATGGGGAGAATTGCTGTAAAAGGCTCCTGCTAC